GGGGAGACCTTATTGCTCCCTGCAACCACCTGAAAGGTGGCCAGGTGGGGGTCAGCCTCTTCTCCCAGGCAACCAGAGACAGAACAAGAGGAAATGGCCTCAAGCTGGGCCAGGGGAGGTTTGGGTTGGACATCAGGAGGATGAAGGKGTRGYCAAGCATTGGAACAGGCTGCCCAGGGARGTGGTGGATTCACCATSCCTAAAAATGTTCAGGAAATGATTGAACATGGCACTTAGTGGTATAGTTTAGTTGACATGGTGATGTACARTTAACAGTTGGACTTGGTGATCCTTGAGGTCTTTTCCAACCTATTTAGTTCTATGATTCTATTTTTCATGAGCTTTCTACCCAGAATCACCTACACAACTGCTGGAAGTTCTTGCTGAAATAGAGGCAGGCTAGAACAGAGATTAAAACAGAAACAGAGCAAGGAATCTCTTTAAGACTCCTGAAAATTGTARACCTCCTGCAAGATTGTGATGCATGAATATGGAGGTGGCTTTAGAGGGAAAGAAATACCTTGAGCAGAAGCTGCTGAGTAGAGCAGCATGGCTCTGTGAATTCCCTGTAAGTGCTGTGAAATGTGGGGTAAGGCTGAGCATTCCTATCAGCCAGCAACATGTCTGTGTGAATGAAGGAATTCCTGGATATTGGGGTGGTGTAACACKGATGGTGAAACAGGGTGAAGGGCCAGCTGGATTGACAGCAGTGACCCCAAAATGGCAGTAGCTGAAGGAAGTGCCATGCTTGTGATGGCTGTGAAACTGAGTAAAAGGTTTTATGCAAAGAAATATAGCAAGAGAATTTAATTGTTGTTGATACAAATACATGATTAATACATCTTTGTTAATTTTTCCCATGTTATTTTTATTTTTCTTGTCTCTGCACAGGCTTAGTGTTCTAAATGAGAAATTTTACTTAYCAAGAGAATCAAGGTTCAGTGTCCCCATGATTGAAGCTGAGGATTCAGACCAAAGGCTTTTGCTATTGCCAAGAGGAATCCCTCTACATTTCACTCTAATTCAAGTTGCCATCACCAGCAGGGCTGCTCAATAATCCATAATGCAGCAGGTCATTGATAACGAAGTTTGGTATTTTTTTTTTTTTAATTCATTTTGGATGAGTATCCACCAGCATAGTTTCAACTGTAAAATTTTTAGTCTTTCARCCAGAAAGGAATAAACTGATACATGGAGAAGTCCAAGTTTTTTTGAGAACTCTGCAATGGAAAGGTTTTCCTCCCTATACTGAATAGCGGGCAGTGCTGGCTTTAACCTCTCTGTGCTGAAAACTGGTATTTGGTAAGACAATTCTGCAACCTAGAGGAGTAAATCTGTATTTTCAGTGGCGTCCTTCAAAGGATATTTGTTAGARGCATAAAAGGGAATTTTATAACTATAGAGATGATGCTCCAAAGACACTCAGGTTCGAACCAAAATCCTGCTAAAATATGACAAAAAGTGTTCCAGTTGTTTGTCCCTATGCATCTTTGTTTCAAGCGTTTCTTTGGACTCTTTCAGCACAAATGAAATGAAACTGGCAGAATTCTAGCTGCTTCCAAATGAGTTGAGTCATTGATCATTGTCTAGCAGAGAGTAAGAACACCTGCTTTTGTTAAGAGAAGACAGCTGAATTGACAAATGTCTGTAACATTTGAATGGGAGTCTACACATCATGAAATAAGGAGAAAAAATGCTGTACAATCCAGAATATTAAAAGTCAGAAGTTGGAAAAGTATGAACAAATATCCAAGGCACTCACTCATCTAAACCTTCAATAACTTGTGTGCTCTGTTCAGTGACCAGTTCCTGTTACTGGGGTATTTACTGTCTCCAAAGAACSTAGAACTACAACAGAAGGTTTCTATCTCAGTGAGCAGTCTGGGAAGGCAGCAAGTGCTCATCCCAGGAAACACACAGTACGCATCATCCRTCAACACAATTGGATTGGGCTCTGGGATTGCATGCAGAGGGTTTTCATACATGGGTCTGAGTGCTGCTGACAGCTCAGGRTGATTCCCTAGATTGCTTCCCAGGTGATCCCTTCTCAAGGATGGCAAGCAGCCAMCAGGCCTGTTGTCTGCCCAGCCAGGCTCCTGTTGTGGGAATCTGATCRTACTTAGTCCATCCCAGGTAAATTCTGATTTTATCAGTGCAGTCAACATAAATCCACCCGACCACACCTATCCTGATTCCCTCTCAAGGCAACTCGCACTTGGGAAATGGGAGTTTGCACATTCGAATGATACATTAACACCTTGGTTATTGTTGTCTCTTGGTGCCTATCCTGCACTGTTCATATTTGCTCTTCTGAATGGTTCTCTTTTGACTTAGAATTTATCTGCAAAAATTAGAGGTAGGAACTGAAAAAAGGTATGAAGAGTCATCCYACTCCTTTTTTTTTCCTTTCAGAATTTTCCATCCATCCCCTTCAGATGGAAGTGTATATGCTGCGCCGAGTTTCGCATCATTCCTTGAATATGAAAGGTAGATATGAGATCTCTCATCCACTTGCTCTCTGTACAGAATATACCTGCTCCTTTTGATGAGTTTTTTGGTTTTTTTTTTTTTTTTTATTTGTACCAGACGGCATACGAGATATGAGCGTGACTGGATTTTCCATCCATCCCCTTCAGATGGAAGTGTATNACTCCTTTTTTTTTCCTTTCAGAATTTTCCATCCATCCCCTTCAGATGGAAGTGTATATGCTGCGCCGAGTTTCGCATCATTCCTTGAATATGAAAGGTAGATATGAGATCTCTCATCCACTTGCTCTCTGTACAGAATATACCTGCTCCTTTTGATGAGTTTTTTGGTTTTTTTTTTTTTTTTTAATTGCACCAACTAGGTCATTTTCATGCCTGTCTTTTTCACTTGGGATTTTCTGCCAATAGGGCTTCTGGCAACATGTACATCTGGGCAAGCTGCATCTGGAGCTCTGGTTGTTGGAGATCAGCAGGCCTGGATGTTTTGATGAGTAATAGTCACAGACGAATGCCAATATTCTGATAGTAGCCAGAAAGTTATACAACTATAGAGTCCTTCATCCTTTAAAGCTAYTCTGAGTGAATCCTCTGGTGTAAAGCAGTTTCTAACTCAGCRTGAATAGCCAGGAAAAGACTGTCAGTGCCCAGATGCACTACAGGGGTACTCCACATCCTGAATAAAGGTTCAGAGATATGATCAACTGAGAAGTGATCTCAGTCAACTGAGATATGATCAACAGTTATGACAGTCTTATATCCAAGTTAGTCCCTGGGTGCCAAAACAACTCTTGAGAGATTCTGTCAGTCTGCAGAACAGCCTTCAGCCTGAATTCCTGGTGTTTCAAGCTGGAAAACAGAATTATCTCTAGAAGTACTAGAACTGGAGACCACAATGCCTTTATTCCCCACTGATAACCACTTGACAGAAGGGAAAATCTGGATTTTGAAGCCTTTAGATCAACAATGGTATCACACAGCTTAGGCAGTGCCTTTAAGGTGACCTGGATCCTGTTGGAMGCCATCATGCCATGTCAGGTGTCTATGGTTAGCTCCTACAGAGCACAGAGTCAGTCTTATAAAAGTTGGATTGAGTGGTGAGCAGCTGAAGTTTACACCTGGGAGTGCAGTGAGAGAAGTTTAAATCTCCTGTCTCAAGGAATGAGATGTTAGACTACAAGCCTCAGAGAAGCAGATTTTCCCAGCACTTGTTAGTGCCCTCCCTGAGAGCATTTATCATCTCCAGCTCCTACAAGAGAAGGCCAGGTGGAGTAATACCTCATTTGTACTTYCCTGCAGTATCTAACTGTAACCTGAGTACCCTTTCAGCGCCAATTATGACAACTATGGGCTAAGGAAATTCAGGTTCTCAGAACAAAAGCAAATCACTGACTAGAATTGAGCCTAGGGACCGTGGATTATGTCGTGAATCAACACTAAAATGTGCTTTGACTATGAAAGAAGGCACAGGCTTGTAAAGAGTCTAATTGCCCTCTTCCCACTTGTGCCATCCTTAGAAACACAGAATCATTAAAKGTGGAAAAGATCTCAAGGATCATCAAGTCCAACCATTGATCAAACACCACCATGTCAACTAAACCATAGCACTGAGTGCCATGTGCAGTYATTTCTTGAACACTTCCAAGGATGATGACTCAATCACATCCCTGGGCAGCCTGTTCCATGYTTAACCACCCTTTCAGTGAAGAAATTCCTCCTGATGTCCAACCTGAACCTCCCCTGGCCCAGCTTTGAGGCCTCTTGTCCTGTCACTGGYTGCYGGGGAGAGGAGGCCAGCCCCCACCTGGCCACATCCTCCTTTCAGGCAGTTGTACAGAGTGATAAGGTCTCCCCTTGAGCCTTCTTTTCTCCAGGATAAACAATCCCAGCTCCCTCAGCTGTTCCTCGTATGACTCSCTCTCTAGGTGCTTCACTACCCTTCCCTGGACTCACCAGAGTGACTCACCGCACCTCGATGTCTTTCATGCAGAAAGGGACCCAGAAGGGGATACAGCACTTGGTGTGGCCTCACCAGCATTGAGTACAGAGGGACAATCACTTCCTTAGTCCCACTTGCCACACTGTTTTTTTAATTTATAGACTGCTTAGTAATAGCAGTTACAAATTTAGTGAGAATCCTGTGCATTTATATTTGTTATCAAAAGTACATTTTACCTCTGTGCTTTCAGATGGCCATGAGAGAAAAGCATCTTGGAGACAGGAYGTGCTAGTTGTACTGTACAATTGAAATTTCAATTAAAAGTTCTACAGAAGAGAGCAAGATAGAAATAAAATAACCTGTGTCACCCGGTGTACCAGTGTCAGACAATATGAAGTGAAAAAGTCAAGGTTTGTAAGACATAAATGAGGATAACCAAGGTGTTCTAACTTAGCAAAGACTTTTATTCTGTGCTCCTCTCCTCCTCCTCAGGACACAAGGAAATAAAAGGTTGCAGCAGACACACAAGGCAATCAAATGAACATAAACCAGYACTAGTTTGACTTAAGAGAGGGTTAAAAGGTAACTTGAGTGCAGCTATGGAAATTCTATATCGTTATTAAAAGCCTAAGRTTTGTCTTTATATTTTGTTGCAAGATAATTTCAAAAAGTATATTTAAAAAAAAAATCTGTATTTAGTTCTCAGTCAAACTCAGTGGGATAAACTACAGAGCCAGACAGTTCACACTCTCTCAAYGCTTGGCTACTCCACCTTGTTTGAAATGTCCAGCTCCCCTACACCTTGTCTCAGKGCAGTCAAAGGAAAACCGTTCAAACTACACAGCAAAATCTAAGAACTGGTGACTCAGAGGACGAGAAGAGTGACCAACGAGAGCCACAAAAGTTTTCTGGTGAGAGGAAAAATTACACTGAGCCACACCCAYGCACAGGTCCTGAGGCAGTTTACGACACTGAGTTGTACCTGTCAGAGCGAGGCTGTCTGCACATTTACAGCCAGGACAGGAAATTGCCTGGTGTCCAGTACTGATGTCTAATGTCTACTTGACAAACCTGGATCTTGCTATGAGGTGTATCTTGGCTATGGTGCTGGTCCTAAGTGTTATGGCAGGAGTGTGGATTTGAGATCCAGCCACAGCACAGCCCCGACACCGCAGCTCAGCGAAGCTCCAGGGACAGAGCAATCATAGTATGAATCTGCACATCTCTGCCATGAAGAAACCTGGAGTCACGAGAGCATCAACAGTTAAGCCTGAATATATCAGGCTCTTTGCAAAAGCAAGGTATTTTCAAATACTGAAGGTGTATTTGCTTTTCTTTCACATTAAAACCTCCCTTTAAAAATACTTTACATTTTCTCACATAATCCAATTCAACATACTATTTGCTACCTGTGGCCAATTAAGTGCAGATAAATATACCATTCTGCTACTGGAAAACATATGATGGACTACATTTATTTGGTATCTGCCATTTGAACATTAAAATWCAGTGAATAGATTTGTAGGCCATTCATAATAGCATGTTTTGTCGGGATTTTGTGTACTGTTTTAACAGTGTAGTAGGTATTGTGCAACAAACCCCTAGAAATGAACTKTCCTGTCACACGCTATGTCTATACATGGCTGAATAAAAGCTGTCATTCCCCTATTTCCATACATTAAATGCTTAGRCTAATGAGCTTTTATTAGGAAAAGTCCTGTTTCCACTGGACTGACAAAGAAAGCTTTRAATAATTTTTGTCCATGTGACTTTCAAGGAAAAAGAAGTCAGACAGGATCTACCATTAAGCATCTTTTTATTGTAGTCTTTAATGTACATGCAGAATTTTTTWAAAAAGTGTCAGTTATATCTGTAAGCTTATAACAATAATGTAAATGTTTGGATCAGCAATGTATTTGGATTAGGGACTAAGAACTCTAAGTGAACAGACATCTTTCAGGATATACAGTTTATATGGTAAATCAAGAAGATTTTCTTCAGAGTGATTTTCCTCATAAAAAGATAAAATATTTCTTGTTTACAATCCTTGTTGTTTTTGATACTGAAAAAATCTATAATAGTACACTCTTCATTATGTACACAGGAAAACATAAAACTATATCCATACCAGTGTCTGTTTTAAATGCAAATAGTAGTTAATAGCTTYGTAAATTTTTTGTGCACCCTCTCCCTTTTCCCTCCCCCACCCCCATTAAAAAATGCAGCATTTCCTAAAGTTTTCAATGCTTTGGCAGAAATAGAATGGAAGGCACTCCCATGTTAGGTAAAGCAATATGTGAAATATCAGCACTAAATAAAAAAGCTGTAGGTGTACCAGACAGCTMCATGTTCATCCCAAGGGCCAAATTTTGCACTCTTGCGGGTCAAGAACTGGTTTGCTAGAGATTGCAGCTGGAGCAGGCTCAGACCCCAGCTTGGTTTACAATAAAGCTGATTAGCCTCACTACGATTTTTACAAATGCTTCACACAAACCAATGAGGATGCAGAGAGCATCTCTGAACACAGTACTATCACGAGGGCAAAAAGCTCTTGCAGGTCACAGCATCAGAACATGTCGCAAAGGCTCTGCTACTGAAGCCTTCCACTTTGCAACACGGTAGTTTCACACAACACCCACTGTTTAAGACTTCCTGATGTGGCAGCTCAGCTAAAAATGAACAAAGCAACACACAAATGTGAAGATTCTAAAGCATCTCTTGTGATGGATAAATTTAGACTCAGCAAAGCATTTGAAAACAATCAGTGTGCTAGCGGCAGAATGACTTCTGCTGATAGAGAAGTTTTGAAAGCTGTATAAAGGTTTCTCGCAGGGGCAGCTCCTCCCTGGCCTCCTGTGGCTTGTTTGCACTCCTCTGTTTTTCTTTTAGCTCAGGATTATCTCTGGCATACCTGTGATATGCATTTATATTAATAGTTTGCAAAAATCCCCCAGATGCCAGTGAAATAAGCATCTAAATGCTTGCTAGGGGATGTGTCGTAAGTCACAATCAGGAAAACATTTCCATAATGACCAGTTTTAGCYCTCACCTGCAGTTTGCTCCAGCAATCCTACCAGAAGCTGAGAAATTACTTGATGCAAACTTCCACTAGAGAATGAGACAGAAAGGCACCGACCAAAGCTTTTACGCGTCACTGTCTCCAGCCTGACAAAAGGTTAAATTYTCAGGACATACRCTAGTTCAGTAATATGTTTACTTAACTAATTTATTCATAGTGCACAATATCTGACCATGACTGTAAATAGCTGCAGTCAACTGACAATCCAATTGAAAAAGAACATTCTGCTAAAACCTGCCAGCTGGTCACGTTCATTCTGCTGCGATAGCTCTGCGCTCTTTAGYCACAACAAAATGAATGGCTTTATACTGTTGGAAAGCATTTTTGTCGTTCTTCATTATCACTGTGGATTTATCTCACAAGGAATGAAGGGTAAGATAAAAAGGCATCCAACAACACTTCAATCTCTGAATTGAACAGCCAGCAAAACGATATGCAGCTGGCATGGAATAGCCCTTTAAGGTTAGTTTAAAATGCAGACCAAAGGGAAAAAAAAGGCAAAAAAAAAAAAAAAAAAAAGGCAAGTAGTCCAGTAAGAATGAACAGTAGAAAAAGAAATGGAGCAAGTGATTCTTTGTTTTGGGCCAGTATATCCACCACCAGTTGGTGTATGTTGCTTTGGGAAACACAAAACTGGCACCAAAACACTCCAAACAACAAAAACCTCCACCCCCTTCCTAGGCTGATGGCTCTCTTTGAARTGTCCCTCAGATCTCTTTCCGTACTGTGGCTCGGATGCTGCTGAACACTTTGCCTATGGCCTCAAAGAGCGGGTCGCAGAACGTGTGGATGCAGATGGAATAGACACGGCTAATGCACTGGATCTCAATCAGGTAGCTCCTTATGCACGGCACCACCGCCCAGATGTGCAGGAATGACAAGATGGCAAAGTAGATGCCCCAGATGAGAGCCATGGGAATACCAAAGATTGCTGACAGTAAGCGATAAAACCAGTATTTCGTTACAGTGAAGGTGGTAAAACTGGCCTTCCAAATCCCATCAAAGCTGTGTGTTCCCTCTGGCTCAGCAATCACATCTTCAAAATCGATCTGCAGCAAAGAACACAAAATCAGGTCAGTCAGACATTCGCACAAGGRTGTATTCCAGAAACACCTTTCCTGGAGAACTATGGTGCCCTGCAACAAAACACAGGGCACRTACTTCCTACATGCCAACATGGCTCAACCTACTGTAACCCATCATTTAAGTAATGAATCTTCAGTAACTACCTTTTCCCAGCGACTACCAGGGAGCCTGGAAATTAGACATCTAACTTCTAGATGGAGTTTTCCACAAAACTGAACATATTTTGCTCATCTCCTACAGCCCTAAGGTATGCAGTGCCCTTATGGTCTACTTAAGGGACAAACCAGGTGAAGAGAATCATATTTCAGAGTTTTGACTTTTCATAAATCATTCAAAAAGTCACCTAAGGAAGCAGTGCATTCCAACAGGCATATTTTAGCACTCTCTGTTGAAACACTGAGCTGTTCAGGAAGCTTAATTGTCATAACATTTCTATTAGAAAATTAACAGAATTGAAATGATGGTTCGGCTCCATGTCACATAGACATGTGTTTGATATAACCCATAGTACAGGATACTTAATTTAGTTAGCACAACCAATTGCACAGGCACTGCAAACAACAGGAAAGAGAACATCACTACACTATTCCTCTGCAAGAAAATAARTGTCTGTTTAAATCAGATGACAGAAAAAATAATTTGCATTCCTGGGACTGGATTCCAAAGTGAGACATCAATGCTGCTAAAAGTGAAGATTTACAGGAGCAAGGTAAGCATGACGTGGGCCAGCAGCCTCAGAAACTCAGGCAACAGTACAGTACCTTGGCATGTTGGAAGGAGGTGAATATACATACACTCAGTGTAAATATTGCTTATACTGTAAGAAAAGGCTCACAATAACTTCTTTTAATCTAAAATACACATAATAAATGAAAAGCACTCATTCTTCTCTCCTCCTGAATTTTTTATCACCTCCTGAACTATGTTACTAACAAAGGCAAAAATAGTATAAAACCACTGGACTTTCCAGCTACCTAAATAAGATAATTCCAAGCAAAAGTGTACAGTCTAGGCACAATTTATGTGAATAGCTGGAAAGTCCTTGAGAGGAAATTTCTGAATCATCTGTGATATCCAACATCTTGAATGCCTAACATCAGGCTGGCTTAATTTAACATATTCACATTAATTTCTCTGCCAGTGACACTCTCTAGGTATCCTGCCATGCAAACTATAAACCTCCTCTTTTTCTGCCACTCTGAACTAGGTTCTAGTGATGAGAAAGTCATTCTTTGGGATGGGTATTCATCATCACCATCATCACACCTAAAGGTAGYGTTTGGGTTGAAACTTCATCTCCAATAAACCTTGGGCAGAGTCTGCATTGGCAGAGTACCCAAGGAACACACCTCAGCACTGTGCACCTGTCCACAATGGCACACAGAGCCAAGGGTCTCTCTGGACTTTCTGAAACTGAATAGCATAATTTTAAGTAATAGCTGCAAAAAGAGATAATTAAAGGAGAGTTTGAATCATGGTTCTGTTCTGCAAAAGTTCTATAGGTCCACAGTAACYTCTGCTTTTGGATGCAAGCACATGATTTTTTGGTATAAATCTTAGTRAACAGCTTCCTTGAAATCAGTCTAAAGACAGAACAGGAATTACACTACATTCACTGCTCAGCAAAGACATGAAATTGGAAATTATTTGGGCTCAGTAATTTCAGTGTGTGCAAGACTGAAGCTCTGGTGGAAATAACTTGAATTCTGGGGAAGGTGTCACAGGCAACATGCTCTCTGTTTTGATTGTGGGGTTATTAGATATAAATGTTCATGCTTGAGGAATAAACAACAGAAAAAAACCCTAAATTTATGAAGTACATTTACCATAATATAGTTCTCTATAGATGAGTCATCRAAAGTTAGCTTAAGTCTCGTAAGAACAAGAAACTTTTCCAAATGGGTTGTGTTGATTTTACTAAATGAAAAAAAACAGATGCCCTTGTATCAATCACGGTATTTTCGGACTGCATCATGAAATAAAGAAGGAAAGGAAGTATCATGGAGAAGTCAATATCTCAATATCTCAATGATGGCATCCTAATTTATTATATTTATTCCTGTCCCTGCCCYTCCAGATGATCACAAGATCTGTACATTGTCCACTGAACTCATTCAACTGAGTACACATGTTGGAAAAATGTATACCTGGGTTTATGGAGCAAGTATATATTCTTTTTGGAATAAGCAAGCMTACAATGTTTCTGAAGCTATTGAAAAGAAAACTTTTCATTGTAGCCATATCCTATATTAGCTCATTTTCAAAGTGAATGGGTGTTCTTGGCTTATTATCAATGTTTTCCTTGAAATCAGATAATAAAAATATCCAAATGATGGCAAAACCCAGGATGATGACAGCAAAAGAAAGTTGCTTCTCAAAAAATATTACTACAAAAGGAATTTATTGCATGCTTCCCACCAGCTGATGCTGTAATCCTTGGCAAAGGCAACATGGCCATCACAGAAGTTCAAAGCATCGAGCTCTAGTCTGTGTCATACCTAAAGTCTTTTTATTGAGTTCACTCATAGTGGAATTCATCTTGTATTTTTTCAACTGGCTGATAAGGGAAATATTAAATCCCCTAATGAAAACATGTTTGCATTGAGCTCCATCAGCCTTTTCATGGTTGCATCTTTAATTTAGCCAAGTCAGACTATTTTTACCAGAAATGCGTTTTTTTTTTGCATGCAAAATGAAACCATGGTTTAATGTGAATTTTCTAGAATTTTTAAAATACATAGTAAGATTGACCCCTAATTTGATTATTTTCAAAATAATTCATTGTAATGAAGTGAAAAATGGCAGGAATAAACTCACTGGTTTTCAAATCAAATAGCAAACTTTCTATAAGTGGTATTCTCAGTAACTAATATTTTTAGCCTGTTGTGTTCAACAAAATGTCCATGAAGTTAATCCTGGGGAGCTGACAGGAGAGTCATGCTATGTATTATTTCCAGATGGACAGCCCTGTCCTCATTTCTGGAGATGATGCTAATATTAGAACATTTATAATATATCTTTGCTCAGGATTTCGSAGCTCAAGTCACACACAGTTGTCTCAAAAATACTCAGAAATAAATCTGTCTGTGAGATAATAGTGATGTATTCATGACACCAATAATTATCAAGAGATTATTTTTCTTGGAGCAATTTCAACAGCTCTCAGAATGCTTCTACCAATGCACAGAAGTTGAAGAGATGGCCCGGTAGGAAYGACAGCTGATGTCACACTACTATGTCTTTCCCCATTTCATTACTCCTGAAGTCCTATGTCCTACATCACCCCAGTTTGAAYAAGTGAACTTGTGAGTGAAAAAACAGAAAAATGGCCTGACAACTCAAACTGTTAGCTGAATAGAGAGTTAAAATGAAGCTGTTATCCTCCCAAAAGCCATAAGAACATTATGAAACTACGTACATGCCAAGAAAGTCCAGCTACGCCTAGCACGCAAACCTCTGTGGTGCTGTCCAAAATCAGACTTACCTGCAGCAATTTCTAAATAAAGGCAGGCAAGGAATTGAGGTAACCTGGGCTCTTCTACGTCTCTGTGCTAACTTCTGTGTGCTAACAGACCACTGCCTGGGAAACACTATTTATTTCACTCTTGAGCAGTACACGTAAGTCCTTATGCTGCAGGAAATGAGAGATCATTCAGATTCTTCCTGCATTAAACCACTGCCACGAAGGATCCTGATTTTGACTTGTAGGGATCAGTTCTCCACAGGCTGCAGGAGGAACAGGTGACTGGATGCATTTTGCCTTGCTATGGGTTATGTTTACTCCCTCCTCAGTCCCTCCCACTACTTTCCCCTGGTTTTTAGTTCAGTAGCACTCACTGAGAGTGAGTGTCATCAGACTGATAAAGGTAGTCCAACTGAACTAAGYAAAGTAAAAATAGGACTGACAGAAGAAAGAGAAATGCCCAGAAATATGATCCTACAGAAGAAAGACACTCTCATTTCTGGTAATGAATCTGACTTGCAAGGATAGGAACTTTTTTAGGGTATTGTTCTCAAGGTCACCTTTGCCAAAGCATCATGCACATGTAGATCTGTGAACTCGTGTTTTAACAACATAAAGGCTTTCATAGGTTAGGCACAGATTTTGTTTAGTAGATTGCATGTTCATCATGATATCTGTTCCTCCAGAGCTGTCAGGGTGTGCTGTGAAATCACACTGAGGCAGTTGCCAAGCTAGCGAAAATCCATGCACGTTCACTTGTGACGGGAGGGAAATACAGGAAATTTGGTTTGACCCTCTGAAGGATGCTAAAACTCACTATAGCCTTCTGTTTCAGACTAAGCTCTTAAACACTATCAACTCCTGTTCCATGCCTACAATGCACTTCCTGACTTCAGCTATTCTTTGTTTCCTACTATTCAGTTTGGTAAACCCAGTTTTTACATTGCTTGAAGCTTTTGTCTGATTCTGCTCTGAGAATTAATGCAGCTTTTGCTCTGCACATGTTTATTAAACTTCTATCAGGAAATTAAGGAACCTGCTTTGATTCTAAAATAGATTTATTTACAAGAAAGGGAAATGGCAGGGGACTTATTTACAAGATTGATTTACAAGAAAGGGAGAATGTCTGTTTAAAGATCAGAACTATTAATTAAAAAAGCTTAAAAATAWTACATGCTACAAGTATGAAGTTAGTTCACCTGTTGACCTTGTCACTTCAAGACCCTATCTATCAAAAGCTGGCAGGCTGGAAAGGTGTATTAAATGCCAGCCTCAAATCACCTACTTACCAGTTGTGCTTCTCAAATTCTGTTCTTTGAGGCTCATAATATTCATTACATAGAAAAACTTACTGCACTTGGTCTATCAGAAAAAACATTATTAAGACCTTTGACCTACATTTCTTTAATTGCAACTACAATGATTCATATCTTTGTGTGTGCTCACAGCATACAGCTTACATAGCCAGGCAYTGCCCCTACTCCACTCCAAAGGAACTCA